AATCCACATCACCTTAATCCAGATCACATCAATCCAGATCACATCAATCTAGATCACATCAATCTAAATCGCATACTTATAAATCACACCAATCTATATTACATCAATTTAAATCACATCAATACAAAGCACATCAATATAAGGTACATCAATGTAAATCAAGTCAATTTTAATTACACCAATAAAATCATACCAATATAAGACACATCAATATAAAGCACATCAATGTAAGGTGCATAAACATGAAGCACCTCAATCTAGACCACCTCAATCTAATCACACCAATCCAAATCGCCTTAATCCAGATCACATCACTATCAATCACACCATTTACATGACATCATTATCAGTCACACCATCTAAATCACATCCTCATAAATACACCATCCAAGTCACACCCTCATAAATACACCATCTAAATCACATCCTCATAAATACACCATCTAAATCACATCCTCATAAATACACCATCCAAGTCACACCCTCATAAATACATCATCTAAATCACATCCTCATAAATACACCATCTAAATCACATCCTCATGAATACACCATCTGAATCGCATCATCATAAATACACTATCTGAATCGCATCATCATAAATACACTATCTAAATCACATCCTCATAAATACACCATCTAAATCACATCCTCATGAATACACCATCTACATCACATCACTATAAATGCACCATCTCTATTTCTTAAACAGAATAAGCCCACACTTCCATCCACCCTCCCCGCCCCAAAGCTTATTCCAGCGCGGTGCACGGGTGCGGCCCCGCGGCCCGGCTGCCCCTCGCCTGGCGCCAGAATAGGGCCATGGCAATTTCGCGGCCAGCCTCAGCACCAGAGATGCGCCACTCCAAAAGCGCAGGCCCAGGAAGAGATCCAGATCGGCGCCAGTTGCCGTGGCCTTTTTTGCCTCTTCCATGGACGGCCCCGTTTTTCTGCCTCATCCAATTTTCCCCCTATCCCGCCCGTTCTGGCTTTCTCCTTGGTTGCACATATCAGTTCTTCCATTTCTCCTGCCTCAATTCTCTCAATTTTTCTCTCTCATTTTGTTCTTTCTTCGTTCCCTCACCTTTCTTCCCTTCCCTCATTATCTCGCTTCCCTTCCCTCATTATCTTTCCTCCTTTCCATCATTTTCTTTCCTCCTTTCCATCATTTATTCTTCTTGCTTCCCCTCCTTTCTCTTTCCGTCATTTTCTTTTCTTCTTTCCCTCATTTTTCTCCTTCCTCTCTGTCTCTCCTCCCGTCCTCTCTGGCCGCCCCTCGCCCCGGGCCCTTCCCTCTTGTTTGCTCGCCGCACTGCTCGCCCCGCCGATCTTGGCCCCAGGCGCGCCCAGAGCCTCGAGCAGAAACGAAAACCACCACCAGGCCTCCCAAGACCAACAAAAGCACCCCCGGTTTTTTTGCCCACACCAAAAAAAAACCACCCCGGCACCGCCACCCACGCCCAGCGCCCGGAACCCCCCGCCTGCCTTTCCTGGCCGCTTTTCCCGCCCGACTCCGCCCTCCGCCCCGCCGGACCCAGCGCACCGTTGCTCCGTCCATCCCCAGCGCCAAACCCCCCTGAAAACACCGCTTTTCCCCGGGCATTGCCGCCATTGCATGCCCCCGCCCGCCGCCAGCCATGACCATGGACCACAAATGGAAATTCTCGCAGTGCTTCGGCGACAAGGGCGACATTGAGAACATCACCGAGGCCGACATCATCTCCACCGTGGAGTTCGACAGCACGGGCCAGTTCTTGGCCACCGGCGACAAGGGCGGGCGCGTGGTGCTCTTTGAGCGCAACGCCGCCAAATCAGCCGCGTGTGAGTACAAGTTCTTCACGGAGTTCCAGAGCCACGACGCGGAGTTCGACTACCTCAAGTCGTTGGAGGTGGAGGAGAAAATCAACAAGATCAAGTGGTTGCAGAGCGCCAACAACGCGTTGTACCTCTTGCTGACCAACGACAAGACCATCAAGTTGTGGAAGGTGCTGGAGCGCCGCGTGAAGTTGGTGAGCGAAAACAACCTCAACGGGCAGGCGCACTTGCCGTCGTCGCAGTTTCTGGTGGGCGACCTCCGCTTGCCCAAAATGACGTTCCACGACAAGTTGATCCTGGCGCAGCCCAAGAAGATCTACCTGAACGCGCACGCGTACCACATCAACTCCATCTCCGTCAACCTGGACCAGGAGACGTACCTCTCGCTGGACGACTTGCGCATCAACTTGTGGAACTTGGACATCCCGGACCAGCTGTTCAACATCGTGGACATCAAGCCCGCCAACATGGAGGAGTTGACCGAGGTCATCACCAGCGCGGAGTTCCACCCGCGCCACTGCAACTTGTTCATGTACTCGCTGTCCAAGGGCACCATTAAGTTGGCGGACATGCGCCTGAACTCCTTGTGCGACGCGCACGCCAAGCTGTTCGAGGAGTACTTGGACCCGGCGCTGCACAACTTCTTCACGGAGATCACCTCGTCCATCTCCGACGTCAAGTTCTCGCACGACGGCCGCTACGTGGTGTCGCGCGACTACATGACCGTCAAGATCTGGGACTTGGCCATGGAGCTGAAGCCGCTCCGCACCATCAACGTGCACGAGGGCCTCCGCGACCGCTTGTGCGATACCTACGAGAACGACGCCATCTTCGACAAGTTCGAGGTCCAGCTTAGCGGCGACAACAAGTCCGTGATGACCGGCTCCTACAACAACAACTTCATGATCTACCCGAGCGCAGTGGGCGCCGCGCCCGCCGCCGCTCCCAAGCCTGCGTTCGGCGCAACCGACGACGACGACGACGACGTGTCCGACCACGACGGCGACGGCGAGTCGCCGCCCGCGCCGGCCCACTATCCGCACTCGCCCCACTCGCCCTATGCGGACGACGAGCCGCAGGACGAGATCGTGTTGCAGGCCGACAAGTCGGCGTTCAAGCTGAAGAAGCTGCCGGGCGAGCCGGCCGCACGCCGCCGCTTGATGAGCGGCGTGGGTCTGGGTGACCACAGCGACTTCATCGACTTCAAGAAGAGCATTCTCCACTTGTCATGGCACCCGCAGGAGAACAGTGTGGCCATTGCCGCGACCAATAATCTCTACATTTTCCTGGCCTTGTGAGCGGGGCCTGCCCGTGTACTAACGATTCATGAAGTGTGTATGTTCCATATAATAATACCTAGATGAGACAGGTGCCTGGCATGCGGCCTTTCGGGCTGGGTGAGCAGCGGCTGTGGGCCTCTGGCCGCGTTGGGGACCGTTAGAGGCGGTGCCCTGGGTTATCTTCGAGTGGTTCGATGGTTAGCTTAGAGCGAGTTCAGAGTTAGCTAAGAGTGAGTTCAGAGTTAGCTAAGAGTGAGTTCAAAGTTAGCCAAGAGCGACTCCATGGCTAGCTTAGAGCCACTCCATGGTTAGCTTCGAGCCACTCCGTGGTTAGCTTCGAGCGACTCCATGGCTAGCTTAGAGCCACTCCATGGTTAGCTTCGAGCGACTCCAGAGTTAGCTAAGAGTGATCCCAAAATTAGCTCAAAGTCACTCCAGGGTTATCTCCAGAGTGATCTCAGAACGACTCCACGGCCAGTACATCTAACTCATGATCAGAAAGAGTCTCGGGTTGGCTGCTTGCAAGTCGAGGTCGGCAAGAGACGCCCAGACACAATGGGACTGTTATATCGAGGCTACGCAAATCTATATCTGGTCCTGGATGGAAATGTCTCAGGGCTCCCCAAAACACCACTGCCGTGGGTTGTAAAAACCACCAAATCAGGCGATCCCGTTCGAACTTCCTCAATGGAGGTGGACATTGGCCCACTTCTTTCAATTGATATCTTAAGATGTGCCTCAAACGCTTTGCTGGAGAGAACGGTTCCTGAACTTTCGGCCTTCTTGCACCCTGCTGGTTTCTCCCCAGACGCCAAACAAATGCCTCTCGCGTCCCTGTAAATTCCAGCATCCCACTCCTAAAGTCCTCTGCGATTGTGTCTCACTGCAGAGTCCCAACACCCGTCTCCCCATCATTGATATACCCCTTCCATAAGACCCGCCCACTGCCTGCAAACAAAACATGTCAATCATAACAACACATCCCCCATTCCCCCTCCCCACTACTAGCCTTATCAGCATGCCGCGGCAGCTACACATTTCTTGGTTTACGTCGTATATTCAGAGATCTTACGCTATAGCAGGACACGGGCCTGGGAACTTACTCCACGTGTCTGTTGACGTCCGAGTTCCAGAACAACGTCTTGTCGCCGTCACCCCAGAAAAACTTCTTCTGTCTCAAGTTCTGGTACTCGTACTGGACAGGCCATTCTTCGTCAGACAAGTGTCTCAAATGCTCTCTGTGCTTGGCGTGCTCGAGCTCAGTCTTGAGAATAGGAATGGCAGTCAAAAGCACCGCGGGCAAGGCCACGTAGAAGGTGATTTTCTTCCACAACTCGGTGATGCCCTCCGAATGGTGGGCCTTTTCGTACTGCGCTTTCTTGAACGCCTCGCCGGCCTCCTTGTTGTACAGGTTCTTGAAGGCGTCCTCCTTGATGAGCTTGGACACGTGACCGTGCGAGTTGAATCTCTGAAAAGAGCGCTGGGCGATGTTTCTGAACATTTTGTGTGGGGCTTCCGTAATGTAGATGAGCTTTGGAGATTGGGAAGTGGGTTTTGCTTGGTCATGGCACTGTGATTGGCTGTGCGCGCGTCACGTGACCCCTGCTGAAAGTGGCGTGTTTCCGGGTGGACAGCACACGGAAATCTGGAAAAAGAAAAGCTTCTCTTTGCGGTCAATGGCGGCTCCCAGGAACTGCTGCTGGTATCACACATCAGACAATGCTGCTTTTTTGGGTCTTGTTGCTGATTTTGTTGGCCTAACTCTGGCCCTCGGCATAGGTGCGCACCAGCTTTATTAGCTAAAAAGAACACCGCGCCCAAACTAAGATAGCTTTCGGATAAAATCTTCGTCTTTGTTTTTTTATCGTGTTTTGTCTTGCTCCTGGCTCTCCCAGTATTCTACTAGGGATGCCGGGAACATGTGCACGTGACTGTGTATACAGACGGACCCCTAATACTGGCACCGTGCAGTAGACTGAGTTATAACACTGAGTAATAACACGAGTCTCAGAACTACCAATGAAGGTTTCAACCTGAGCATCAAATATAAAAGCAAATCTCAGTTTTTGGATATCTACTTGCGGATAGACTGAATCCTTGGAAAATTCGGTATGAGTTCAGTCCTATGCTGGCATAAGGCCTGGGGTAAACCTCAGGAACATGATTTATTAGACCATAGACCTATACATAAAAGGCCAAGTCTACTTTGGAACTATATGACGCTACGCAACCCGAGAAAAACAAGCTTCTCAACGTCACACTGACTCTCAAACCGATTAATTCCATCCCGACACAATTGGAAGACAATGTCACCGTTAAACGCAAGTATCCATCGTAATATATGATATTCCTCGCGTTGTTGTGACCCAGTTGTACTTCTCCTTGTTCAGACACAATAATTTGCCGTACAAGTCCGAGACGTGTCCTTCAATTAACATGAAATTAAGTTTGAACGCATAATTTTCTCCAACGATAGCCATTCTATTCTCGTTTATGGAAACATAGCCGTAGATTTCCGTGTTCTCCGGATCAATGATTTTCACTAGCCTCGTCGTGTCCGCGTCTGGATCTTGGCCGAAGGCAAAAGCCAAAACAAGAAAGAAAGATACGGTGAGATTTTCATTCTTATCTGTGATGAGAGTTTGGTTTTTAATCTCAATTGAAAGGAACAAACGGCATTTTATATGATAATATGTCTCCGCCTCATCCGAAACAAAAGGTATAGATTATTGTCGTGTAAAACTTTTCTGGGCGGCATGAGTTGGTGGATAGGTTTGCTACCACAATAGAACATTTTAAATGCTTCAAGTTTCCACTATTTTGTGATCGGGATATATCGTAGATTAACGCGAGTGAAATTTAAAGAGCTAGCAATTTACGCGGACTCTTTGTGAAAAATACTAATTGGCTACTCTCGATTGTTTCGATGGGATGAAGTTTTACCAAACAGTTGCTTGGTTTAAAGTAATATGAATTGAGTATGACATTTGTAATACGCAAAAACAGAACTCATAGACACCATTGCAAGCAAATCATTCAGATCCCCTATTATGGAAAGCCTTGGCGTAAGAAAAAGGAATTAATTTTTTTGTATCCCGTGTGAGTGGAAAGATTTTGAAAGTGAGTTTGCCGGAACCCCGTCACTGCTTGCGTGACCCATTTGGAGTCTTGCAGGAAGTTTTACTAGGAAGAGTAAATGGACATGCCGTGAGATGAAATCGGAAGAAAAGTGAGCAAAGGATGCGGGGAATTTGGTAGAGACGGTCTTAATTGCTTAGTTGAAATACACAGCGGACGGGCTAGAAACATCGTTGAACAGCTTTCCAACTTTGACACAGAAGGGTCGGGAACTCATCTCGAACCTGCAGTCATGAACAAAAGAATTAAACCCTGTTCTCTTCCTGGGTTAAACTTGCCGCTGCAGAGGATCCAAGTCCAAAACAATGTATTTCCCAACTAGTGAAAAAAATTATTAATGGTTTTGCTGGAAAATTTGGAAATTTGCTGTGTTGGTTCTTAGCCCGTAGCACATTGTGAGGTTGCCGGGAAATTTACATGAGCTCTTAAAATTCATTGGATGCAGTTTGAACTTGGTCTGAGCGTGTCGAGCCAAATATAGATTATACAAGCGTTAAGAAGTTGAAGCAAGCCCATCTACGGCTGTCAATATTTCAAGCATTGTAATTGGAGACTTTAAGTCTTAAAGGCGATACGGCTGAAATTTCACAAATCATGCATGGCTTCTTAAAGTTTTACACTAGAGTTGAGAATGGAAAATTGAGAATGCAAAGAATAGCTGGAAGAAAAATCGAGACTGACTTGAGAGGTACATGAAGTGGTACAGAAATATGATGTCACAATGAGTAATTAATACTGAAGTTGCATGAAGTAAAGGGCAATGGGCATGAGATATCTTTAATAATACATCTGGTTGTTTCATCTAGATCAAGCGGCGCCGAATATTACACTGATGCTTCCATAAAGCACCAGACAAACCGCAGAGGCCAAGTATGTGAACCCTGTAGGCCGGCCAGGCCTTCTCGTTGTTGGATGTCTATTCATCTGACTGCGAAAGCAATGGGAGGTTTTTCAGAGCTTCGTTTGGTGGTCCCTCCAGTTGGCCATCCTCTTTTGGTGGTCCCTGGACCGTTCTGTCGCCCTCTTCTGGCCGGTCCTTGTATGGGTTCATCCTTCCTGCTTGGTTTGCTTTCCCTGTCTTTAGAGCTTGTGCCATCGACATGTACTCGCCCATTCGCTCGCCAAACCCGCTCTGCACCTTCACGGCATTGTAGTTATTGAGATCATGGCGGAGCTGCGCCGGCGCCACGAGCTCCCCATTGGGAAAGAGTAGGGTCTCGGCAGACTGGCCCTGGAGCAACAAGTCCATTTCCTTCTGATGAAACAAGGTGGTCTCTTTTGTCACAAGGTACTCAAACAACAAGTCCTGCTCAAGGTACATGAGCTCAAGGTAGTCCTGGTCGTTGAACGAAAACACCGAGAGCGTGTCCACGGTTTCACGCGCGATCTTGGAGTGGCCCCCCATCTGGATCTTCTTGTCGTTTGCGCTGCGGCCACGGGTGTACTTGTGGATGGCCTTGTAGCTGGCCCAGAGGCGGAGCCGCGGCAAAAACGCATACGACTTGAAGCGTTTGGAGTCAATGCCTCGCGTGTACTCCACGTCCAAGATCTTGGAGAACTCGTTGGGAATGTATGCGGGCACGCCCTCCATCATGGTGAGGCGGAGCGGCGATATTTCGGCCAACGACATGAAGTGCTTGTTCCGGCAGTTGTAGAGCTGGGCGGCCGTGTTCTGCCGGAGGCCGAAGTCGGGGTCGGCCTTGACTTTCTGCACGAAGTTGGTCTTCTGGAACTCCTTCGGGAGCTGGCCGTAGTACCTCCGGGGCGTGGCGGTCAGCGACACGGCGAGCGCGGTGATGTCGATGTATAGGCCCGAGTCCATGTCGATGAATCTGGCGTCGATATTGTTCAAGCCGTTGCCCCGGTCGCGGTGGCTGACCCAGGTGCCGCAGTCGAGGAAGTAGCGGCCGAGCCGCACCTCCTGAGAGGCCAGTGCTCCAAAATCCACCACCACGGTCTGGTTGAATTTCCGCGAGAGCGTGTGGAGGTCCCGGATGGGCACCTGCACGTCGTAGTCGGCGTCCCAGGGAAACGAGAGGCCGTTCCAGTACCAGCCCAAAAGCGACCCGTGCGCGATCCACGAGGTGATGTCGTTGGCGTTGGTGAAGCGGAGCCACGCCAGAATGAGCCCGTGCAAAAGCACCGCGTGCTCGTCCTGCGCGGACTGGAGGCCCTTGAAGAAGCGCCAGTCGTAGTGGCTCCCGCTGGCCCACTCCGGCTCGTTGCGCACCAAGAGCGCCTCGTTGAAGTACTTGGTGGGGGTCTTGGTGCCGACCGAAAGCCGGAGACTGTCGAGGTAGTTGGACTCCTGCGGCGAGAGGTTCGGCTGCTGCGCGAGCTGCTCCATGATGCTTGCCAGCGTGTCGACAAACGCCTCATGGGCCAATTCCTTGCGGTACTTCCATGCGGGGAGCGAGCTGTTGTCCACGTGCGCGGCGAGGCTGGACAATTCCCGCCGGATGTCGAGGACTGGGCTGCGTCCGGCCACGGCGCGGGCCTGGGGCGTGTCGGCCATGCGGATCCGGCCTGACACGTCCTGGTTGACCGGCACATGGAGAGGGGCCATCTGCTGGGCCCCTTTGGGAAGGAGGAGGTGCACCGCCAAGGGCGCCGGCATGAAATCGTGCACGTATGACGCAGCGGCAATGGCACGGATGCGTTGCGATGTCCGGTTCGGGAACTGGTGGACGTGGAGCCCGGCTTTGTAGGGCAGGTCGGCGATTTTCTGGAGGTACGGCGCCAAGAATGGGTTGTCCGCGTGCTCTTGCATGGCCGCCGCAAGGTCTGCGTCATTGAAGCAGAAGCGGCTGGCGTCCAACGCAATGTCCTTCTGCATGAGGTTGCGTTCCTTGCGGGTGGGGTTGAGCAGCTCGCACGTGGCGGGGCTGTCTTTCACAGAGAGCATCTTTGTGTCTAAAAGCGCCAAGTCCGTCCAGTCCGCCCAGTGGAAGGACGGGATGCGGAGTGTTTCCAACGTGTGCTGCCCGGCCAAGTTGGCGTTGAGTTCGCTGAGCAAGAGGCCTAGAGTGAGCCGCGGCTCGTGGGGGGTCAAGTGGGGGTTTTCGCCCTCGCCCCGCAAAAACCCGGGCACCTCCACTAGATCGCTGCTTTCAGACGGCCCGTCGATGCTGTATCTGGCCATGCGAATGGCATCGTCGGCCGGGCGGTCCGAGACCTTGCGCCGGAAAATGGCGTCTGCCCATGCGTCCAAGGAATACGAGTCCTGGACGTCAAAAAGAGACCGGAGCCCCGGGGAATCGAGCGAAAACTCCTTGAGCTTTGCCGAAAAGAGCTGTGTTGTCATGCCGTTGTAGCTGATCACGCAGAAGATTATCAAGTACGCGAGCGCCGTCAACGCAGCAATGTATACGCAGCGAGATCGGCGGATGGAGGTCATTCTTCGTGGTGTGTCTGTGTGTCCTTGGGACTGGGACGCAAAATGCAGCGTCAATCAATCTGATGGCAGGGCCAACTTGAAATCCCCGTCCTCTGGTCTATATCCAGATATGTCACAAAGGGTGCTGGAGAATTATACTTGCGGAAAAAGAAGCCCACCAGACCAGCAGCTCACCAGAATGATAGAAATAGAAAGTACGGAGGAATCGCAAGCGGCACGCGGCGACACATATATATGTATGCCCTAAGGCCAGCAGCCTCCTCTACAATATCGGCAGGGGACGGGTTTTTCAATGGATCTCTAGCTGTGACCCGCCAAACATGGAAAACATGGCGCAGGTGCTTGCATGGGGCCTGCAGACGGGTGCGGCTAAATATTTCATTTGCCGGCCACATGCAGGCGCCTGGATCCCGGCCCAGCCTGGACACTACAGAGAGGCGCTGGAAATTGCCTGGAGCTGTGATGAAATTCTGGTCCTCGTCCACTGGTGAAGCTGCCAAAGCTGGCGAATCGAGCTATCCAAATAATGGCCTACTGCGGCAAAACTGCGGTCTCGTGCCCGCATTGTTAAGCCTTGTTTCGGCACCCAATGAGCAAGCGTTTCAAACGCCGAGTGGCGGTGCGCATGTATGTGTTCCTGTATGTGGGCGCGTCCCAGCGATGACAGATCGGCATGTCTGGGCCTTGTTTGGCAAAAAACGGGTTTTGTTTGGGTATGCGGCTTTTTTGTGATAGCAATGATATGGTTCAGCTAGACATGGACGTATGCACACTCCATCAGGTAATGAGGATTCCGGGCCGTCAACATGCAGAGGTTGTGAGACAAAGCCAACACGGCTTCTACTCACGCGACAATTGCTCATCACGTCAACTAGAGATCATAAAAACGACACCAACGACAGTAGCCAACATCATAGTTTTCAAGAAAGTTTGGGCATTACAAAGCACAAACACCTTCCGAAACTATAATTTAAGAGAATAGAGAAGAGAAGCTGGAGTTACTGGCAGCCTCAGAGGCACTCAGCAATCCCAATTTTACAATGGTCGACACACCGCAAGGTTAACTATAGTCACAGCCTACAGCCCCTAAAAAAGGAAGCTCTAGGCTTGTAACTTGTCAGACTGCCACTTGTGCCCACCCTTAGCTGAGTCTTCCGAAGAAGCATTCAAAAAAGGGTCAAGATCATCGCTCCTTTTGGCAACACACACTCACGAAGAATGGTGTCAAGTAAAAGGCAAACAAATTGTAGATGACCAGACCGCAAAGGATCGTGGACAAGCTAAATTAGTTCTCACTTTGAGGGCGCAAGGGTATCTTACTCATCAACCAAGTTGGATTCAGTGGCTCTTTAGAAGAGTCATTGTGGAACGTGACCTATAGAAATGATCCTATGAAGTACGTCGACAAAGAAAAAAAGAAAAACCAGTAAGGGCGGATGGATCCATGTCCTTATATAGTTTTCCGCGTGGGCGGGTAACCCCATCTCATCGTTGGAGTCTGTCAAGATCGACGCGACAAACCGTCTACCCTAACGGGGTGCACGGGTGCACCGCCAGCTAGGGCTACGAGTCTACACCACTGCTTGAAAACAGACGCTTTTACCGAATTGAGCCCTAAATGCCATATTTATACGAGGATTATCGCTGTCTGCGTGCGTTCCAAGCCGAACAAACGGAGAAAATCGATCACGTGGTTCCTTTCTGTGGGGGGCAATTCGCCAAGATCGCACTCGTGCAACCGGCCCGTGCGAGTGCTATAAACTGTCACCGGAAGCCCTAGATCCAACGCATTTTCTTCGATCCACGACACTAGCTGGACTAGTGGAATGGCGCCTGGGAGGACGCGCGGAAGCTCCGAGGCCGAGCACCCCAATTGGGAGCCGAGCACTTTTTCGGCGATTTCCGCCGTTTTGTATGTCTCTTTATTGCTGTAGATTTGCTGCGAAACATCCACGATATTATGTCTCCAGGCACCGGGCAGGCCCGACAACGTGAGTTCATGTTCGCCCTCGTCCAGCTCGGATTCCGTGGTGTCCTCAGGCCCCGGTTTGGATTTGCCGCAGCAGATTTTGCCGCACCCTGTTTTGCAATCTTGTCGTTGTTGGGTAGGTGCCGTGTCCTCGCCGGACTTGTTGTCTTTGCTTCTTCCGTCTTTCTTGTTTGCGTTTTCAGATTGATTGGTGATACGGCAAACACCCTGGACCTCGCTCTCCTTTCCACTTCCAACCTCGCTCTTCTTTTCAACCTCGCTCCTCTCAACCTCGCTCCCCTCGCCACTTTCAACCTCGCTCTCCTCTCCACT